CAGAGTGGAGGTAAGAAGACCAGGGCTGCCTGGAATGGCAGGCATAGGTGTGGTCAGGAGGCCACAGTCACACAGGTAGTCTCTGGCACGTGGTCAGTTCAGTACCTGCTACAACACAGGTCAGTGATCATGTGACCATGACTAGGTCCAAATCCTTGGCGGATCCTGCAGGGAGTGGCCTACAGAGACAAATGTCAGTGACGGCAAAGGATAGAGAAGACACCATCCAGACAGCATGCTGATGGGAAAATTCAGCACGTTTCACCCTCTAGGAAGGAAGTCAGGACAGAAAACTGCAGGGAATCAAGCGCAGAGCCACATGAACACAGTAGACAACAGATAGCAGTGGCTGGAGGGGACAGGAGGACAGTGAAGCCAGGTCTGGTCTCAGGGTCGGTACAGGTAAAAACACCCACAACAAGGCCATGCAGCTTCACCTGCCTTTGCTCAGCAGCTGGAGAGTTAGAGGAAACCGGCCTTGGTGTCTCTGTCACATCCCATCTTAGGAGGCCTAGAAACATCGGCGGCTGATGATGCTCGGCCAGGCAGCACTGGCTTGTTTCCAGAGCCCCTGAGTTCTGTCCCCTCCTCTGCTCTTACACCATGATTGATGGAGATACACTGATGGCAAGCCTGGCATTGGGAGACAGCCAATCAACACTCAACACAAGCTGAAACAAGAAACAGACATCACAGGCCGGGCGGTGGTGGCGCACGCCTTTAATCCCAGCACTCGGGAGGCAGAGGCAGGCGGATCTCTGTGAGTTCGAGGCTGGGCTGGACGGATAGCCTCCAAAACAATACAGAGAAACCCTGTCTCAAAAAACCAAAAAAAAAAAAAAAGAAACAGACATCACACCCGATGGGGGAGCCCTCCGGTTCACCAGTGCTCCCCACCCTTTTACAAGAGGAAACACAGCACATCAGACAGACAGAGGGAGCCCTCTGGGTTTGCCAGTGCTCCCCACCCTTTTACAAGAGGAAACACAGCACATCAGACAGACAGAGGGAGCCCTCTGGATTCACCATTGTTTCACCCACCTCCTACACACACACACACACACACACACACACACACACACACACACACACACACACACCTTTGTAAGAGGACTCCTCACTAACATCAAGGGCCCTGAGCCTTCTGGAATGTTTGCATCAGTTGTAGCTCTCCAGGTTCCAAAGCACCAAGGCCCAGAAAAGGATGCAAGTCCATTGCTACCTAGGGTGTTGTCCCAAAGGACAGCCAGAGATGGGCCAAGCAGAAGGGCAGGAGAATCCCCTCAGCAGACTAGTACTCATTATCCCCTGTGAGATCCATTCAGACTCCAAGGGCGAATGCCACCATGACGCCCAAAGCAACTTCAAGGTGGGGTGATACATCAAACCTTTCCAGAGAGCATCACCAGGAACTAATTTTATTTGTTAATTGCCAAAGTTCAGAGGGACTCGAGATATTTTAAAAAACCTGGAGAATTAAAAGCCTGAAATAAGCGGTAACACGTCTTTGATCTTTTCAAAGAACAGCTTCATCTGTGTTTATATAATGAGACTGTCTGCAAACAGGCTCGGCCAAGCTGGAGCAGAGACGACACTGAACTGGGAGTAAACACTGTTCGTCTCAGACTGGCTCCATGTAGCAAACCTGCCAGGACACTTGTGGGCCTTTTCCCTTCTGAACATCAACATGTGCGCGCGCGCACACACACGCACGCGTGCACATACATGCACACACATACACACACACACACTCACACAATCACCCAGTCTTTTCTGGATGAAAAGGTGGGTGGTGGACTTTTGTTTCATTGCATATTGTTGTATTTTCAAACTTTTGAGAAATGAACCTGTACCCTTTTGGTTTTATAAGTAAAAGTCAACTTTTAAGGAGATGGAATAGAAATTCTTCTTTTAAAGAGGAATATGCATGGTTGGGTGTAATCCTAGCACTCTGGAGGCAGAGGCAGGATGAGCATGAGTTTCAGGCCAGCATGGACTATATATCAATACTTTGACCAAAAAACAACAACAAGACAAAACAAAACAAACAAAAAGGTGGAGGGGAAGATGGGTACTTCTGTGGGCCTTGTTATACTCTAATCAGAAATTCCAGCTCTAAATATCTTACTGACATAGAAGGCACTGTTTTTAGTAAATCAATAATTCAAAGCCAGTGATTACAGTTGGGGAAAGAGCTTGACCATAAAAGTCTCACAGACTCAGATCAAATCCCAGGCCCAGCATACACTAGCTGCACGAGTTTGGGCAAGTTTCAGAACCTCTCAGCATCTCTCTGAGCCATAGTTTCTTCCTATGTATAAAAAAAAAGTCATCTGTGGGGACTAAAGAATGCTCTGGCGTGTAAAAGACAATATCCATGAAGAATACAAAGCCATGGTTTCAAACAAACAAAAAACTCAATCTCACTCTGTTTCTGCAAAGCTTGACAAATACACTCAAATGCAGTGGCTGATGGGAAATAATTTCATATGAAAACAGTGCAGATAGATTTTCAAGGCAAAAATCAATATTTAAATGTGCTTATGACTAGCCACATCCATCTTTGCTTCTAGACATCCAGGAGAGGGTGGGGGAGGGGAGGTGGGGTAACTGGAGGTACACCTGTGAGGTCTTCTCCAAGCTACAAAGAATGAATGAATACATCTGTATAAACAGTGACTTTAGTTATTTCCCTCAAGTAGGCATGTACATGTACAAATAAATAGAAGAAAGGAAACGGGTCAACTGCATCTTTTTCAGGCCAGGGGGGTGTAGACATTTTAACCACTATGTATTAACTATGGGTTCCTTGCTTGGAATGCCAATATATACTAAGCAACCCATATGACTCATCAGATCAGGAAATGTATAGAAATATAAGATGTTGGAAAGAAGGAAAATGCACCATTTACTAACTCTCCTAAATTTGGGGTTGAAATAATTACCACCATTCAACCAACATCCACAAACACACAGTGTGTGTATCGGGAAATCAGACCATTTCTGAGTTCAGCTTTCAGTGTTCAGGAATCAAATCACTATGGTGGGATTGGATCGCTTGATTCAGAGAGAGAAGGGAAAGACTAGGAAACAGGGAGTGTGCCTGTTGTCACTGTGTCACTACCACTGACTGCGCCAACAGGACCTGACTTGGGATTTGACCGTGTTGCACTCACTCCGACCGGGAGATGAGGGCTGGGAGCAAGGATCACTAGGTCATGCAACTGTCATTCAGTTGTCTCTTGGTCAACTTGGCTGCACCAAGCATCCACTTAATTAGCTTGTTCTTGGTTTATTTATTACCCTCCCATCCCCACCCACGCACACCCTGAGGGAGAGAAGAGAATTCTTGCTGGTGACCCACCCTGCTTCAGAAACCAGTGCAGTGAACATCAAGTCTGAAGGAGTTTGGGGTGCCCTCAGATCTGCCACCTTCCAGGCAAAGCAAAATCAGGGGAAAAAAACAGCAAATTAAGTATTAGCCTTCAAAAATGTGGCTCCTTCTCTAAATCCAAAGAAGCCTGGAAAGTTCCTTTAGAATACGGGAGCAGATCTCTGCTGCATATTTGGGCACTGTCTACCCTGGATCCTTTTTTATCCTAAGCCTGGTACAGTTTCATTTTTTTCTTAGCAATTGCCAACAGCCTCAAATCCCACTGCCTGCCATTGAATAGACTCAGCACTCCAGGACAGAGAAGACAACTCCCATCCCATCTAACCTACGGGACTTTTTATACCAGCCCCCAAATTCCCACATCAGATCCCCTCTCTATTATGTCTACATTCCAAAACCAACTGATAAGTGATTACACAAGCTTAGAAAGAGGTAGCCGCTTAGATGTGATCTACAGGGTCTTTTCGGGGTCCGGTGGTTTAAGCCCCTTCTGCCTCCCCAGATGTTCTCCCTCTGCTCTTTGTCACAGCCCTTCTAGCAGGAGATGGAAAGTTCTATTTTAAGGCAAACCCTCTCACCCTAGAAACCACTCAGACAAAACACCGGCACCTCAACTACTCCCAATTCCTCCTCCTCCTGGGTCATCTCCTGTTGTACACAAGCTCTCCAAGGCACCCCAGGGCCTCCAGGAGCTGGTCTCCGAGTCCCTCCCATCACCTCACCCTGCTGGAAGGGCAAGGATGTCAAAAGTGGGACCTTGGTCCTTCTGATCTTCTTCCTCAGGTTGAGAGTGGGGAGCTTAGCCAGCCTCAGAAGGAACCGAAGGGGCTTGTGACATGTGACACAGTCCACAGTCCACCTGCTCCTTCCTCTTAGTCCTCTTCAGGAGTCCTCAGCTCTACACCACACCACACTTGGTGACCTAGGACCCATCCGCTCTCCACCCTGGGAGGGAGCTTGTGCCCTCGGGATGCCTGGACCTGACCAGATAGATCTATACTACCTGGAACCGATCTATCCTGGTCTCCATCTCCCTCCCTCTCTTCTGCACTCCCATCTCTCTTACTTCCCTCCCCTCCTGACTGGCCTCTCCCTGCTTCCTCTTACGAGGCACCCTGGTGGCGTTTCCACTTTGTCTCCAATTATGTCTGAACGCAACCCACCACAGATGCTGACATTTTAAATGTTTAGTTGTTATAGTTACTTGACTAATTGCCTGGGCCACCGGCAGTGTGTCTTCTCGCCTGAGGAGGGGGGTTGGGGGGGATCGTGCAGCTTGGTTTGGAGCCACTACTCCGAGCCGGCCCGGGACATCCTGCCACGCCCAGGAGAGTGCCCAGGCTCAGAGGCTCCACGGGCCACAGGCTCCAGCCAGGGTAGTAAGAAGGTGTGCCCGATACCACCTGGCCTCGGGATGCCTAGAGCTGCATCTCCTGCCCCGGGACAAGGAAGATGGACAAGGTATGCCCAGCAAATGCTTCTATTTGGCCTCACAGTCCGCCCACGCCTGCAATGTACAGAAGGCAGGTATAATGGGGAAGCGAGGAGGGCATGGCGGGGCGTGGGGGACACAAATGAGAGTTAGAAGCCGCTGCAGGTTACTCACGTGCCAGATAGCAAAGAAGATGAGTGCAGCGCAGAGCACCAGGGACAGCATGTAGCAGAAAGCAGCGAAAGTGAAGGCCATGGTTGAGACCCCGATCCCACCACACACAAAGCTGCTCCCTGGAGATCAGTACCCTCCCAAATGAGGGCCAGAAAGACGTCTCTTCTACACGCTCCGACAAAGCCAACGGTTAGGAGAACGCACAAGCAGAGAAGAGTTGAGGGTCAGTGAAGCCGGCAAGATTCGGGCAGGACAGGAGACCCGGGACGTGGAGAGCCCACAGGCACAGAATGTCGCTGGCGGCAACTGTTCCCCTAGCTGAAGAAGAAATCTAAGCAGTACAGAACACCTGCAGACCTGTGTCAACTAGAGATGCTCTTGAGACCAACAGGCATCGGTGCGAGGACTCCACAGAGGACCAGGCGAGGAGGTCCCGTCCGATGGAAAGAGTCCTCTCTTTCCCCTCCAGAGCTGAAGAGGTGAGGTGAGGCGAGCGCGCCACACAGGCTCCAGGAGCGTCCGGCCAGGTACCGGGGCTCCAAGGTCCCCAATCCCACAGCCACTCTGCGTCCCTGTACAAGTCTTTAGGTGGCGGCGGAGGCGAACCAGGTCCCGTTATCCCTGCACTATGGGCTGGGGTCTTCCAACGCAGCTGCACGCACCGAGATGCATCCGGCCCCGGCCCCAACCGCGTCCCCCGGCCGCCGGCTTCCGTAACCCGGTGCCTGGGAAACTGGGTCGGACCGGGGCGGCGTGGGCTCCAGCCTAGCGGGCCAGCTCCGGGCCCGGCGGCTGCGGCGCGGGTTTCCGGCTAAGTGCTGCTCGCGGCTGAGCTGGGCTCCACCTGCTGCTGCTGTCGCCGGCGCCGCGAAGACTGCGGCGCTGGGACCCCTCCCTCGAGGCGCCCCACCCTCGCCGGCTCCCGAAAGCGCCCTCCCCGCGGGCGGAGACTGCGGCGGCGGCGAAGGGGGCCGGGGAGGCGGTGGCGAGGAGACGCGGTGCGCGCCCGCCTCTCGGAGGAAACTTGCGGCCCCGCGCGCGGAGGCGGGAGGGGCAGGGACTCTTTAAGCACGTGCGCCCGGAGCGAGTGGGAAGGCGGAAGGCTATGGAGATGACGCGTCCGCCGCCCCTAGGTTTACAGCAGTTTCGTGCACACCAGAGCGGGAAGTGAAGGGACTTGGTCGCGGTAGTGGGCTGGCTCCTGTTGGTTGGGTCCTGCTTAGGCAGATTCCCCAGATTGTGAGGAACTCCTGATCTGAAAATCCCTTTTCGAGTCTACCCTGAGCCCATCCCAGCACCACCACCACCACCCCAGCGCTGAATTCTGCATTAGAGCTCACCCCAGGCATCCTGCACGATCCTGTTCCATCTGACATTGGGGTTGAGGGAACCTGGTGCCATAAATAAGGCAGCAGCAAGTGTTTCTGTGATGATCAGTAGCATTGTTTAGAGCACCTGCCGGTTAATGCAGACTCTTTCCTACTTCCAACTTTCTTAGCATCAAATAAAACCTGCTTTTCTTATCAGAAAAGTAGCAAGGAGTATCTTCAAACCAAACGGAACCTAGCAGGAAGCAGTTGGTGCCCAGTCAACCCGTCAATGATAGGGACCGTTATCTTCACACTCTTGCCAGAGAGTTTTAGCATCTTAGAAGCTTGTACCATAATCACTCAAAGTTCCAATCCTACAGATAGAGTTTGGATTTCAGATGAGTCAGTCTACAAAACAAGAAGAAATGACCCGAAAGATGACCAGCAAGTCACTTGGGAGTCTAGATACACGCCATAGTTCCTGGGGTGAATGTCAGAGCATCAAGTATGTCCAGACGACATGTTTCTCTCCCACCCACCAACCTCTGGATCTTACAGGGTTTTGTCCCGTCTTCTGCCACCTCTCCATGATGTCCATGAGTCTCAGGGAGAAGGGGTATGACACAGCTACCCCATGTGTGGCTGGCTGAGCATTCCACTGCACATTGACAGGTTGTGTGTTTCTACATTAACTGTCCCCCAGTGCACAGAGAAACTTTTCTCATGAGAACCGCACTGATCTAGGTATAGAGATACAAAGATGAAGGGAAATTTGATACTATTTCCATTTAGCAAAATAAGTGTAGTAAGTTGTCCTCTGGGCACTAACAATTCCCCAACCATGGATTTTTTAAGCATGAGTTTCCTCCTGTGACAAGTATTAAAACAAATCAGAAAGCAGCTGGTTACCCCCATAACATTCATGCCACCGTTGCTCCCAGGGGCATACCTCACACACCAGTCAGTCATTGTTGTAGCTCATGGGGTTCACAGCCGGATAAGACTGTAGATGAATGGGACCCATCCACAGACACCTGCATAGCAACTTCTGGTACAAGGAAAGGCAGACAGCAGGAAGGAAGCTCCCTAGTCCCTGCCAGCTTGATTTCTCCATGTCCTGTGACCAAAGTTTCTTCAGCAACAGAGTCTTATCATCAAGTTCTAGTGGGTGGCAAGAGAAAATGGCAATACCCTACATTCTTTGGTATTTTCTGAGATGCCCCTAAATTCTACAGGCTTTCCAAGTTAGACACACAAATCTAAAGATGCTAGGGCCCAGTATGAGTGAGAACATGCAGTGTTTGTCTTCCTGTGTCTGGAAACCCCTTACTTTGAACACCTAATACACACCAAAGAAAAAGCATTCCCAGATGTTTCTGGAAACTTGGCTATAATGACAGACTTTCTTTCTAGTAGATGTGAGGACAGTCTGCTGAGGGGATGGCTTGGTTCCCATGGATGCCATTTTTCTGAAGTATGAACAATAAATGTTTAGTCTATTGCCTAAGGTGTTATTCTCAACTGCACAAGATCAAAAGGGTTTAAATTTCTCATTTTAAATAAATTATTAAAATGCTGTGTGTAATAGTTCCTAGAAAATAAATATTTTACTGTCTTGATTTATAACTTGTCAAATAATTTGCTTTCTTACATAAGTAGGTATGTTTTCCATCCAGCAAGTGCAACCATGTAGTTAGAGTGGATGTATACTTATATAGACACCATTATTTTTTAATTACTATTGAATACTTCATGTTTTAAAATGCTTGATTATGCTTAAGTACATGTTGGGCAGTTTTACCATTTGAAGTATTACTTTCCTAGACTTTTAAATTGTTTTTATCAACATCTTGCTTAATTTAGAAGATTTTTTTCAAATGTATTATTGCATAAAAATATCTTCTGATTTTTGACCTACCTTTTGGCTGATAATTATAATGTAAGAAATTAAACCCTAAGCTTTGATGAAATGTGACTGACATGTTGGTGAATGTGTGTGTATGTTATAAGGATTAATAACATCTTTTCAACCCTTGTAGATTCTTAGTTTGCAAGAGACCCTTATGACAAAAGAGAGATTCACAAGCAAAAACAAATAGAAATTTACTAACATGCATTTTTCATATGCCTGTGGGAGATACACAGAGAATGAGGAGTTCTCAAAGAGGTGACTTTGAAATTCTAGCTTATATAACATCTTCAAATTCCTTGAGAAGTGACTAGGAGAAGGAAAAGGACTTTTGAGTATCCAAGTGTGGCGACTTGGGGGAAGCAGACACCAGGCAGGAAAGTCCAGCTTGTTTGGGTAGATGGGCCGATGAGTTCAAAGATGTAATGTGTGGCCAACCTGTTCTCCATGGAGAACTTGTTCACATTAGTCGGAGGGGAGTCTTCTGACTTTCTGAGCTCGTCCTGTTTTTAGGCAGGTAAAGGGAAGGCAGAGCTCTCCAACATATGCCCTATCTTCACTGCTTTCAGCTCAGCAATCTTTCCTGTTTGGGGTGACATATTCGGGTCTCCCACACAGCATTTTTAAGAATTAATTTCAAGTGTCATACATTTATGTCAGTAGCAATGGCGGGAAAATGATGTTTTGTTAAAATCATAAAACTGTTTTGTACTGAAGACATGAAAAGGGTGTTATTCCTGTTTCTCTGTGAGAAGGACATCCAAGGCGTGTGGCAGACCCTCCCAGATGCAGCTAATTAAAAACATCACTGTGTCCTCCATAGATGCAGATGGCTGAGGTGTATGACTGTTGATAGAATACTAATAAATGTATCCACAGTTGGTTTTCTCTCTATCCTGAGATAGTTTTTAATATTTTATTGACAAATTCTTAAACTTGTAAATATTGAAACACTGCATTTACAACGTAGGAAAGAATTGTGTTGTGCAAACAATACCTCTAAAGTAGCAATTATTAGAATCAAGGGACAATCGTGATTTCAATATAGTGATAAAACTGAGAGGAACACAGCGGGGGGGTGCTTTGTAATAAATAAGTACACGGGAGGCCCATCTATCAGTGGCCCCTGTGATGTCCTGTCATAGTTAGCCTGAATAAATGGGTTTAATTTAGAATTTAATTATTAATTGATTTTTCTACCATGTTCTGCAAGGGCCACCACACTGTTTACCAATCAGAGCAGAGATTTTTCAATAGTGATAGAGCCGAGGCAGTCACACTAATGAGTGTTGGCTGAATAGAGTATAAGGTGAAAAGTGAAATGACTTTTAAAGACCGCAGCCTTTTGGGGAAAAGTTTCTCTCCCAGAAGACATCTGAAGGATGCCCGGAGTTGGGAGGAGAGAGAGAGTGCTTCCGCCAACATGCTGGGGAAGCAAGAAGCATTTTCTGCAGACTGGAGAGGCCGAGGCCAGTGGTTTAGAGAAAGGAGGACACACGTTGCATGATGCCAGTGTTGTAGGAGACACAGCTGTGGCTATGTGATGCCAGGGAGGCAGAGGCCAGGCCTAAGCCTCCAAGGATCTCCAGCTAGCAAAGAGAAAAAAGCCAGAAGCAAAGCGACCAAGACATGGGAAGACCCAGTGTGGACCTGTGCCCAGTGACAGAGGTAGAAGCTTCTGGTCCTTTGTGCTGTCCCATCCCCCGCCCCAGAGTCTTTGCCAAGCATTGTGAGGATCCTTCTGCATCCCTAATAAAAATTTCCTTCTAGTCCAGCATCAAGGAGGCTCAGAGTTAGATTTAAACAATTTTAAAGGAAGTCAGGAGGTTATGTGTGCAGTTCATGTGAACCTGCACTTTGTAGACTTTCCAAGTGTGAATGGGGGCTGAGCAGGTAAAAGAAACAGTATCCAGTATCCGAACCCAGCCAGCACCAGCATAGCAGAGCAAGCAGAGCGACAGGGGACACAGTGGACTAAAGGCACGAGCTCTGAATGGAGGCGGCAGTGGCTGGCTCCCAACTTGGGAAAAGTTATTATTGAATCAACTACAGGCAAGCAAAAGGGGTAAAGCATCAAGGGGTGAGGGGGGAACTTTCAGATCCTGGTGATTAGAAAGCAGCTATAAAGGGCAATTCAGGGGCAACTCGAAAGCACTCAGGGCAAGGTGTTACCTGCTGCTGAGTCTGATGAGGGACAGAGAAATGTCTGCGAAGCTCTTTGCTGCTGCTTTGCATTGCTTGGGTTGTTACGAATGGCCAATTTAAAAGGCTCAGTTAAGGCACTCCAAACACCAGGAGGGGGAAACAGACTTTTCCGGAAAGTGCCTTTCCTAGACAGAGTCTACGGTTGGACAGTTGCTGAGAACCACAAGTGGTGGGTGTGGAGAATGTAGTGTGTGGATTTAAGCTGAAGGCTAGAGAGTTGCTGGCAATCCCACGAGGCTTGGCGGGGAAGCAATGGAAGAACTGGAGGTATCCCATCTGCACCAAAAAGCCTGAGCTAATGCCAGTTAGGGGACACACTTGAGTTCCAGGCTAAAGGAACGGTCTGGTCGGGTTTTCCTAGGGATGGAATGGGCTTGCTAAGAGGATGAAAGGAGTTTACACCCCACTGAACTAAGCTGCCCAAGAATTCAAAATACTAACCTTTAGGCACTGTCCATTTCCC